GAGTGGCCTCAAAATATTTTTAAATCATCTGTATAAATGATTTGTCATTAGGAAATATTCTGAAGCATACAAGGATAACTGTTTCCAATTTCCATTTTACAGATGGGATCAAAGTAGAGTAATGCCATTACTTTAATTCAGGGCAAAGATTTCCAGCATCTTTTGACGGGGGAAGAAGAAGGGAGTATTTTCCTTCATGATCAATATAACTTTTCTCAAAGTAAAATATAAATGAGATTTCTTTCCCTTAAGTCTTCTAAAATTATAAAACAAAGCAACATCATTAGTTACCACTTGAAATTTGACCGCCTATACACAAATATGGCAGATACAGGCCCATAATCTCCTGAGATGCAGTTTAACCCAGTCAGAATACTTGAAGTTAAGTATAAATTTAGTGGCTTTCCTGTCTCTTTCTTCATAAATTTTTTTCCCACTAGTTCTAAGTAAACAAATAGAGTAATTTTCATTTCCAGGAAAAAAAAAAAAGAAAAAGAAAATTATATACCTTAAAGACTAATTATCACATTTTGGAGCCAATTGCTGTATTATTATTTTCAAGAATATATTATAAAAATGTTGAGGAGTCTATTATCACAAAGTTTCAGAAAAAAATGAAACTATAAGAGAAAGTAAAGTAAGGAAAATTGAAATTTTAATCTTTATTCTATTTTCGTAAACTTTAGGGTGAATAAACATTCTCCTTAAATGAGAAGCAACTAATGGCTTTATCTTCTGCTGGAACCAAACCTACATTTGTAAATTTTAATGAAAATGGCTTGGCCTTAATCATTTGTTCTTTATTTTTCCATTCCTTATATCATCCTAGAACTATCCATCTTCTATTAGTATGAAATATGTAACATGAAAAGTTATTTCACAAGAAAAATTAAAGATCTATATTTATGATCCTTAATGACTCAAGTTTTTTAGATGACTGATACAAAGAACTGATTGAAAAAGAGTCACCCTTTGAATGAAATTAACTAAATGAAGTCATTCTCTTAGCCATTAACAGTCATTGATGTATACTAGCAGACCTTCCAAGTAAAACTTCCTCAGACTTACAAATACTATTCATTGGAATATTTTACGGTTTACAATACAGTGTATAGTCATTCTTCTTTATTTTACATATAAAGAGGGAAAACTAATTTTACTTATGTGAAGTTATTAGAGAACAGTTTCATAAAGAGGAAAAATGCTGCCAAACAGAAAAATATATTTAACTTCTGATATGTTGATATTTTAGAGTTTATGAACCAAAATGTTATTCTGTTTGTTTTTTGAGTTTCCAGGTTAACTACAGTCTCTTCAGCTTTCAACCAAAAGTAAGAGGAAACATTAAGATTTTCATTCTTTCTGAGTTGTCTCTTCTCTGAAGAGCAATGGAGGTGCTTTTAAGTGGAAGAGGATTAATCATATCTCTAATATTCCTCCTGCTAAAATTCTCAGCAGCAGTTGAAATACCACCCTCAGGTAAAGTAACAGCATTCAATACTTATTTATGAAATTTTATATTTGCATTTTGATTTTTAAGTAGAATACTTGTGGAATGCAGTTGTGACTTTTCTAGCATATTTTTATGTATTTTC